TTTGCCCCTACCGCCCGCCGTTCCGTTTGACACTGGGTCAAAATAAACCAACGACTCCGAGCGGGAAACCGAAAGAAGGGGTTGCTGCTGCTTCTCGCCACGGAAATCAAAGTCGACAACCATAACAGCAGGTCAGGGTCTTGACGTTCTCAGAACTACTACCCTGAGCCCCCTTTGCTTCGACGGCAGCTACCGCCCTCGTCAAAAAAGTTAATTAAAGCCGACAGCAAGAAACAGTGAACGGCAACGGAAATGATATCTATTAGTAGGTCTAACCGCTCGGTGTATACAGCTTTCGCAGATAAATACGGATAAACGCAGCCCGAATTTAATGGAACCTGGCCATGGTTGGATATGTCCAACCGAGTCTTATTGTGCGTGCGCTCTTCAACTTTCAAAACATAGGTTTTGAAAGTTGAAGAGCGCAGTCGTGCCCTACGCCCCGTCACGTTTTTTCTGTCCTTTGTGTCACGTGATTCTGCATAGTGCTCCGGCGTTCAGGCGCATTAAGGAAAAAAGCAAAATAATAAGGGGTCATAGCAGTAGATGAAGACACACGGAGGGATAGGGAGTAGCCTGAGGGAAAATTTACTCGCTTACGCTCGAAGGATCACACTATCACGAAAGAGGCAAAGCGACCTTCAGAGTCTCAGACTGACGTTAGATCTATCCAGCGAAAACTTGCCAACGGTACCGCTACGGCAAGGGTAGTTGGTGTAGAGATCGCGTTTCTTCACCACGTTAAACCCAAGAAGAACGTCGCCAGCCACGGCTGAAGGGTGCTGGCAAAGTAAGGCTCGAGCGTTAATTGCGTTGGAAATCAAGGCGAACGAACGGATATAAATAAAGAAATTAGCTCAAGATGACAATCCTGGTTGTACAGTATGAATTTTGCGTATGTTATTGCACCCTGATGAACACAATCTAGCGGAAATGCGTGTGGTACGGCGGTATGATTCTGCCTAACCAATAGGCGGCAATGTTTTATTCTAAAAATGGCTGCTATACTCATGAGACGTAAAGCTGAGATGGTTATGTTAACAATGGCTATGATTCTAAAAGAGAGCGTGTCGAGGGTCAATGTTTGTGGTTCTGATAGGTCCGTTCTTCGACTGTGGAGTGTGCCTTCAAGGTTCGATTATTATTACTATTCATTTGTCAGTACTAAAGCATCATCGATGGAGTCTCTGTCTACCTAATTTTGCTACGGTCGTTATTCGTTATTGTAAGGGGCTCCGTTGTGTCATATAGGCTTGTCAGATGTTGAAATTCGTATCTTAAAACATACTATGCCGCTTCGTAGGTCCTCCCTTTATAAGGTTGTAAACATGTCTTATTGAACTGTAAATTCGTGATCACATTGATTCCGTTAAGGACCATCTAGGTTGAGTTCAAGGAAGGCAAATTGCTATTATCTTGAGCGTGCGGATATTACGGCAAAGACTAGAGTAGTATAAGCTATGGCGAAAGACTTAACAGTGTTACTTCAAATTTTCTATTTGTTGTCTATTTGCACTTTGTTTTAACGATCCATCGATTGCCATCAACGACGGCCGTCGTTGATGGCAATCGATGGATATCGCCTCGGATAATTACTCGGAGAATGCATTTAAATACGTTCGTCAGACATGTATCAATGAATACGCAAGTAATAATATAATATCATGTGTATTGGTTTGATCAGCGATTCTTGATGAACAGTCGCAGTGGCAAACGGTTGCCCATCTTTCATTCCACAAGAAGGCCTAAACCTCGGTAACTTCGATTCGATTTAAGTATGTTTCCAGCCAACGAACCGATGGTTTCCAAATTAAGATCGTGTTATCCGCCTAGCAATTATTGGGCTTCTCTCTACAGTCGATGAGCTCTACGTACGGAAAGGCTATCTTAAATATCAGCTCAAGTAGCCCGAGTGTCACTTTAGCTAGCTCGTTCATAATCGGAACTTTTGTCTTCCTGATAATCCTAGGAGATGCAAGAATCATGTAGAAGATCGTCAAGCTAGCGTCTTCTATTGCTAAACAGTCGGAAATCACAGAGGTTACCTTAGAGTATGTTTAAGGTGGAACCTTTACGACCTGAAATCAGCGTAAAATAGTGCATTACTGCGTAGTCGATTTGCGTATACTGTAATTGACTAAAAACAAACGGTCGATATTCACTGACTATGTACGGTGATGCCGACAAAGTACTCATACGTTAGGCTCTTGATTATACAACGTTGATTTACCTAGGCGACGAGGACAGCAATTAGTAGTATAAAAGCCGTATAATAGGAGTAGGTTAAAGTCTGCAACTCCTTGTCTAATTCTAGTAGTCCCGATACATACGGGTAACCTATGTTTCAGGCAAAGCACCGTTAAAATGAACCGTTACCCGCACTCAAGGTCTATAGGCCACGTAAACGCTCACTAATTACGTAATCGCCAATACTGAAGATCGCACGTCCGTTTTTGACAACGATCAATAATAGTCAATAGCCGCAAACTTTCCCTGCGCCCTGCCTCCAATTGCCAACCAGTTGGCAGTGATATTTACTCAACAAGAGCTGGTTATCTTAGGATTCCGATAACCTGAAATGATTATCATAAACATTTCTAACAGACACAGCCTTTTCGAAATCCATTAGCGTATAGGTAGCTTTTTAATAAATTAACTATATATCTATTCAATCTTATGTTGCTATATACTATTAACATGAAATAATGATTAGTGACTGGTTTGGTCACTCGGGCCGTGTCCTATGCACAGCTTGGCTTAGCCTAAATGGAGGAGCCTACTGGCTGAATAAAAACACCAACAATAAGTAAACCCGTATATCGATTCATGTACAGCCGGCAATGGGCTGGCTTGGAAAAGCGCCCTGGTCGGGAGTAGTTACTCGGCTTACTTTACCGAATAATAGTACTATGAGTGTAAGTGAAGCAACAGCCAACGTTGTTCGAGGTGTTCTCGCTGGCTTATGCTTGGGCCGCTCAATGAGGCCTCTGATTGACTAAACCAGAAAACGCGAGCACGCCTGCCTGCCTGCCTGCCTGCCTGCCAGTTGGGGTTCCCGAACGATTTTTGGCGTATAGAAGCACAGGCCCGCAACATATGAGGCTTGCTCTGACTAGAGGCTAATTGACCGAGCTAGTTCATCTTAGCCGGCCAGTAACTTGTTCAGTCGAAAAAAAGGGTCCATCCTAGGCTATTGTCGCCTGACAAGTCCGTACTTGTAACAAGTTTGTAGTTTACTTGTATGGTTGTCATGCTCTTCCATAGGCCCATTGGACAAAGCGCAAATAAGCCCAGCAACACTCATCTCGATTAGATTCTTAATGGAGACAAGTCCTTGATGCTATGCCTAAAAAGAAGTTATTCCGAAATCATATATATATATATATATATAAATAATAGCTGAAAAAAAGAAAGAAGTGTGTATGCGTGCAGAAGACGGCAACAGAAGAAGGCCGATGGCCGACGGGGGTCGGCAACAGCCTGCTGACGATACCCGTGTTGAATCAGTCTAGGCTAGTTGCTGCCATTGGGAGATATGTATATACACATAATGTAACAGCTGGCTTTAACCGGCCGAAAAAACTAATCGCAAATAGAACGATAAGAGTAGTAAGATGCATTCGTATTTCTGCCTGTAATCTGCATGATTAAGAAAGTAAACTGTGCAGACTGATGATTGAGGAAGGAACACGAAATGCATGGCAGGGCAAATAATAGATCAAATGGGGTTAGTATGCTATGTTCGACACGCAGAGGAGCATAAAAGTTGACATGTCTATTGCTGAAGACAGAAGACAATTGGCAGCCGTATAAACAGCATAACAAAATTACCTAGGAAGCTAATAAGCCTGTGAAAGCAATTTACTAAATTGCCGTTCCAAGTTAGTATTAAATCCACATTTGGTTAACGAAGTTAGTCGACCAGCTTGGAATAAGATGGTAACCTAGTTAGAGTTCGTACATCGTACTACTACCGAATGGCACGTTAATCCGAGCCTGTCATAATTGTGGTTTAGTGGTCAAAACATTATACACGTAACGACAGGTACTATCCTGGCGAATCCTTGCGTCTTTTCTTCCTTGTGCAAGCCATGCGACACTATATGCCCCTAATCAACCTTTGCTACTTATTTAGAAGCTTTTTCTTCTAACGGAGTTGTAATATATACACATACATCGTTATATCTATGATCATCCTCTGATCATCGCACAGCTAAAATGGAAAAGTCGAATGCTGTTATGCTGTTGAGACGTAGTCAGCAAGACGGCTCAACTCGTCAAGGCATGCCCATGCGAAGACTCTGTATCTTCTACTATCTAACTACTCTGCTACCAGGTGATGACTTCAGATATTTTGAATGAAGCGAAAAATGGATGGACAATTTGAAATGACGGGTATTAATGGAGAGGTAGAAGGGAATCCTGAAGGATGCTCTCAGCACATGAACGCGTGAAGTCGTCACAGAGTTTTACTCGTTTCCAAAGAAATATTTATCGAAATTTCGGTGTCCTGCGATTTTTCACGGCTGCGAATCTTAGTTAGACACTGCGATGCTTTTATCGTCTTTATATTGTCAATATATAAGGGGCTTTGAACCGTATTTGCATTCATAATTCCTAAAACTGCGACCAATGCCTAAAACGCTTTAGCCATTATGTAGAGATGATCACAGGCGCCCTTGTACTCCCTTCTCAAACTATACCCCAAATAACCCCTGCCCCGAAACTTTCGAGTGTATGCATAGGTTCCGAGAGAGGTTTTGGGTATGGGCCCAGTTTTACGTTTTACGTAGATGAAACATCACTACGGTTTGTGTTTCGTCTTAAGGTTACAATATACTTATTTATTTCAAAGAGACACGCTGCACTGTCCGTTGTTTCAATTTGTTGTCTATATTATTTCGTTTACTTGCTTTTCTTTAGACATCTAGACATAGTGTCTCTAGACATGTGAATTTTTGGATTTTTTTCTACACAAATACAGTTGCAAAATATATCTATCTAGTATGTATACACATAATAATCGTCTCTCTGTTTTTTTTTTTATATTTTCCCTTGTTCTAGGTCTATGCTTTGTACAGTGATACTTAGTTATTATTAGCAGAGAAAGTTGACGCTTTCAGCATCAAGCCAGAGAGTTTATTTTCAGTTATACTCTAAAATTTGCAGATTTTCTCAGTTTTGACGCTCTTACAATTCGGTTCTTGGGCTGGATAGACGAATGCCAGTTTCTCATAGTTACCGGTCTATATCAATCTTCATTAAATCGATTTTTCTATTATTACTGACACACATTTTATTCATGCCATACACACGCTGACATTTATATGCAATAATGAATTTTCTGTAGGTTTGATCCTTATAAATATCATCCTAATTATACAAGTGCGGACGCTTCCTATAATCGCTTATTTATCGCTTTTGGGCAGGCAAAAAACGGCGCATTTTAGTAGGCTTTTTTGCCTAATGCAACTTTTAAGAGTACTTCCAATTTTTTGAAAATGAAAGTCTCTAAGAAAACATCGAACGGCTTTGTAGTTGTGGACGCATTTAGAGATGGCTCTGTTACAAAGTTCCTACGAAAAGGTTGTCGATGGGGGGTCATCGACTTACATGGTCTGTATAGTGAGGTCGCGTACCGCATTGAGGTAAACCGAAAGCGGTCTCATAATTATCCAATTGATTTATACTATATATTATACTACTAGAGATACTGTATATTATAACAGGCAATACTCCATAAAACATTCTAGTAGAAACAAAGAAACGGTAACGTAAGATACGTTTCTGAGCAACTTAGAAGAACTTAAGAAGTATAGAACTACATAGTATAGAAGTTAGGTTGGTTTAGACCGATTTCACTACTGGAACCTTGTTCGTCAAAGATCACCTAGGATTTGATCCGCACCATTTGCAAGCCGTCTAGCTAGGCGAAATTTAATAGTGAATTAATAAAATCAACTGCTATACGTAACCTGATCCTATTATGAACTTTTTTTTATTCTTTCTCAGTTGCACTTCTCAACTTTTAACTAGGAACAACCCTGTCCCACATGAAGAAGTTCAGAAACGTGTCTTCCCATTATCTGCCCAGATTCATATAGCACACTATTTACATTACCTTAGAAGTTTTTGACCTCCAGTCACACACCTCGTGATAAGCGATTAATACTCGTACGCCATTTATTTGTCTCGTACAAGACTGTGTAGGATAGCTATATCTCTTTCGCATTCATAACTTTGTTTCGCTGCGTAGGTTTCCAGGGCAGGCCTGTCTTTGTTCCTGCAAATATAGTACCTTTATAGAATACAAAAACAAAATTATTTTTATTTTTCCCTTCCTTTTATATTTTGACTCGCGCGTGGTCAGACGCTGCTTTCGACTGGGTTAGTCTTTTGAAATTGGTGTTGGGTGGTAAAGTCAAACGAATGTTTAAGAGCTTTGGCAAGACCAACTACTGAGTGATCGTCGCCATCTTGGCTAGAAGATTTTATCATCAGGGGGGAAAAAGCTGCCTGTTGTGATGAATCCATATGCGAGCCCGATTGTTGTTGTTCTTCAAACTGCTGGTATGATTGCAACATTCGGTTGCTAGCACCAACTGTCGTTGATATTGATGGTAAAGGGCCGTATTCTACAAGGGGAACTGTGGTAATATCTTCGGCACTGTCACTCAGAGGTACGCCGTTGTCACTGGGCGGGATCGTCGTCCCGGGTGAGCGGTAGATGTCTTCAATCGGGGATGAATTCGATGGCAACATGGCTGAAGCGCTGTTACAAGTTGGCGATGATGTTAGTTGCAATGAAACTGAATTCTTTTCGGGTAACGCCCATGGTCCGCCGCGAGCTGCGGCACCTTGTAGCGTTGAATGAGGTGTGCTAATGGCTGTCGTCGCTAAGTGATGGTCCTTGACTTCGACTAAGACATGATGCTGGTACTGTTGCTGCTGACAGTGGGTAGGCAGTTGTATCTCGAATGATGGACTCAGCGAACCGTTAACTTGCCTTCGTAGAGCGTTTTTCGCTTTGTCTTGAGGATGCATTCCAAGTGTGGAGTATACTTCGATATTGTGCGCTCCCTACAACATGGGAGGCGATTCACGATAGACGATAAAGAACGGCACAATTAAAGACGAACATGGAAAACCTACCGGATGCGTTCATTCATAAGAAATCTCCCGTAAAAAAAATGATGTGCTTTCTCAGTCACCGATGTCGATCAGTAGAGCGCTGCTTACAGGTTCGTTGGCTAAAGTGGTAAAAGCTGATCGCTTTGCCATAGGTACTGCACTACAAATTACGATTGACTGGTTAAGGAGTGGCTGAATTTTATCTATTTAGATTGCATTTTACCTGCGTTGTCTTCGTAGGAGCTCCGCTGTTTATCGATAGTCGACGTGCGCTTCTTTTGCTTGTGTCGGACTCGCCTCGATCGCTGCGGAGTGTGGTCAATCGATAGAACATGTCCATTGCTTCGAATCGGCCTCTGGTGTAGAATCCGCCGTCATCAGTCGTGATCTCGTCGGATGTCAGGTACATCTCGTCGTCATTCGAAATGGTACCAGGATGACGTTGAATAATATCGGGCGGTCGTAAATCCAGCACGGATAGCTCACTGGCTTGGCTAGTATCGGAAACCACTAGTATCGAAGGAGCGACAGCATCGACCTGGTCACCTGGAAGCAATTGTAGGATCCCCGGCGAATCTTCAAATTGAGCCGATGTCGCATCTCCTTTCAACAGGGAAAGCATCATCGATCTTTTGTGCCGACCGAAGGTAATGAATAAACACGCAGAGACAAATGAAGTAACGAATTACTCAATTGGCTTTGTCTACAAAGATGGTAATGCTAAGTAACAGTAACAATTTCATCCTCTATAGCTAAAAGAGCGTTCATCATCTGTAGTACCTAAGACGTTCAAAGGGAACTAACTAATCCAATCAACTATCTGTATTTTTCAAATTTCATATTAGATAATTCCAACTATTGGAAACGCGACGTACGAATCTTAGTCGAAACTCACTTATTGCCACCGGCGTTCGTTTGTGGAGCAGCGACTGCTGAAATACAAGGGTAAAAGGTGAAACAGTTTAACTATTTATACTTACGTTAAGATACCATCTGCCTCTAAAATTCCTTCGTATATCTAAATTATTTTCCTTAGTAAAGCCAGCTTTATTTTTTTATTTAACCCTTAAAATCTTATAATCGTCAATAAAATTCCGTTGTATCGTTGTGTGTCTAAATCGACGGAAAAATTTTCCTAATCTACCTTCTTTCTTTAACACGTACGATAGATGATACTTGCGACTGTTAATTATTCATTTTCTCAATTGAATTCTCTGATCTAAAGCGAAAACAATAATCGTTCAGACTAGTCACTGGCCTTAAGTTGTAAGTTGTTTGTTCGGGCACGAATATGTCAGTTGGATGCCCGATCGGGTCGCGAGGCTCTCTCTCGAACAGAAGTATGCAGTCCACAATCATCTAGCAAAACGGCCGGAAAGAAACATCGTAGAGATACCCCAGGAAGGCGAAGCTTACCACTATCACAACGAGACCTAACACAGTGTCCTTTGCACTTCCAACATTGAGAGGTAACTGACAAAAAACAGACAAGCCCCTAAGCCCATTTCCCTGACCCGAACTCGTCATCGTCCAAAAGCTGTTCCTGCCACAGCCATCATTAAAGTGAATAGCGGGTACGGCTATCGCGAGTACTCTGCTTACCTCCTTTGTTGACATCCGTATGTGACCCGTGCTTCTGCTGGGATTGTTGCTTGCTGTTACATTTCAGCAGCGCAAACAAGGCAAAACCGCCCGTGGTGATGGAAACGAGCAACCCGAGCATAAGTCCAAGAAGTGGTCGAACGACCCACGCTACTCCCAGGTGACTAGTAGACTCTGTACGTGAGTTATGGGTATGCGCGGGTACAAATCATAGAGTGACTATTTAGAAGCAAAATAAGGCTTGGCAACACGAGAGCGGTAGGACAACTAGTTGTAATGTAACGATGTAAATAATTTAATGGGCCAAAACCTTTGTCAAAGGCAAGAAGGTAGAATATTTTTACAATGGCTACTACGTGATTTTTGGCTGGTGACTATTGAAATTCTAACGTTACGGACGTAAAGCGCCACTTCTTTTTTTTTTCTTTGTCTTTTATTATTTTACTTTGTTTCGCATCGCAATCTAGCACATCTGTGTTGTTTGTTGGCTTGACAGCTTGTAGAACCTTAAGCATATGGCTAACATAACAATTTATTTCTATAAGTAAATTCCACGTTAAGTAATTGATCGACACGATAACACAGTTGGCATCTGAGTTTAGGCTCAAAAACTTCGACAGGCCTTTTTAATCGTCACCACTCACGCCAAACGTATATTAAATCGACTATATACTAATATATCAAATACGCCATATTGCAATTATAAAAGCGTGTGGTGGTGTTAATGTATAGCTATCAGGCATATGATATCTGGGGTTCTGGTAAACGAAATGTTACAAATTCTCACAAGATTATTAAGGACTATTTATCTATTAACAATCAAGAGCCCCATCTACCATAAGCCTATGTGGGTAGCTAATTTGGTAATCGGTGATGAATTCGATTAGACCTTGAATTAGTTCCGGCCGAGAAAATTTTACAAATAAGAAGATCCGGCCCACTCTAAGATTGTTGTTAATTAGCAAAATTTGATCGATTCATCATAGAAGCTCTTCTGGGTCAATCACATTGGCGTAAACTCGACAGTAAGCCAAAATGAAGTTTAACTTCGAAAACTCAGCTCAATTTCGAACGGTACTCTTACAGTAATTGTGGCGCACGAAGTTCGTTCAAAATATGCACTCTGTACCATGTTAAAGATTAAAATGTTTTTTCTTTTATGTGACACGCTTGTTTGTAAGATGATTATTACAGCCTTATCGAAGTATTTGAGCTCTATCTAACAGGGATTGTAATCATCCTGGTGAGGAACTAGACGTCATTCTGATGCAGTTTCAGCTGCTAGGGACAGCAGTTTGAAATCCTCTGTTGAATATTGTATAGATATACCTACACGGCGTTGTGTATCACGAAGCATAGTGGGCACTAGTGGTTTTATATCTTAGCAAGAAGCGATAGGACCTTTCAAGCGTTTATTAAGCATACTCACGTTCTGTTTGGTAGTTGGACGCGGTGTTTAACAGATGAACTGTGAGTGTCTTCACCGCACTACGGCCTTTATGGTTCTGTGCGTACAGGCGCACCCGATAGCTTTGACCAACGCCAGCTCGATCTTCAGCATCGCCCGATAGCTTGATCTCGTTCGAACGCGGAAGTTCACTAAATACGAACACGGGCGTACTAATTCCTATTGTACCATCAACTGTTACGTTAGCAATCGATATGGGCCACGGCTGGTTCTGCTCTTGAAGCGTGCTGCCTTCATCGTTCTTTTCACTGATGTCATCATCGCTGTTCCTATTCTGCCGGACACTATACAATTCAGCTATGTAAAAAAGCTGCGACTGCACGATAGCGTTACCGTTCCATGCGCCTTCAGAGCATTCGACCGTTAAACCGTTTTCGGTCGCGTTCACCTGAAAAAAGGCGGTGAATAACACGATCTGTGGGCAGTGCACCCCATCGAAGAATCAAATGGAGCAGGCAGGATTACAGGTGCGGGCATCAGGTCTACATGATCAGTCGACTGGACACCTCAAACAAATGCTTTTTTTTTTTTGCAAGAACAGCTATAAGGTGGAAGTGTTTATCGTTTGGAGTGCTGAACAAATTGCAAATTCATTGACCTGGCTATTATTCAAACGTATAGATACTTCTGATTTTCTGTTTTGTTGAACGTACAAGTGACATGGTATTATAGCGCTGATATCAATTGCTGTGTATGGAAGAAAACCAATTGACTGAGCACCAAAACTTGCTGTCAATCATCGCATTTACGAAGGTGAAGTAATTAATTACACGGCCTTAATGAGTAGTATAGCAGATGCGCGTGATCTGTATACGTAACCGTGAGCACCTCACCTGTGAACAGTTTCTTGGAGGATCCGGTATGGCGGCAGCGACGATATGGTACACGCAAGGCTCGACCTGTTCGCCTACCTCATTCCGTCCGAAGCAGACAAGTTCACCATAATCTTGTTCCGTCAACGGTTTGTAGTTAATCATCGCTCTGTATCAGATCCACATGCAAAATAAATGAATAGTAAACTACTAGGATTAACTTTGCAGATACTTATGATCGGGCCCAGAACTTACTTAAAATTAAAATTACTTTTAATTTATGTGTTATTTGGGCAAGGTTTTCTTGGACAGCCTTCCATCTAATATCGGTAAACGACTCAGCATAAACGGCAGGAGACACCAAAAATTACCTTGGCTTAAATGTTTTGGTAACAACAAAAGAATTAATCGCAGAATTGATCGTTCTTAATGTGACTACTACTTGAATAACAATGGCACAGTTGTTGTCCACCATGTGATTGCTATCTACATTGACTTCCCAAACCTTTTCTATTTAATACCTCGAAGCTGTAGTTTAGCCACGTTCTTACATTCATTCCTACTTGCGACGCTGCTAGGAAAGGCGGGAGACAGCGGTCTTACCGCTTTAAACCACTAAATTTCTGAGGTCAGGGTATTGAACCCTAACAGGTATGACGCTCTTCTGTGTTCAACGTCGTGCAACACCCGGGATAACAGCGTGGCACGTACTACAGAGAAATACGTGTTTCGTATCACGAGATTAGAGTCTCGCCATGTCTCAGAGTATTGGTGCGAGCTGCCCCCGTCCAATAAAAAATAATACAACTTTTTTTTTTTTTCTTGAAAAGTTACTTAACTTCTTTCCATGCGACAGCTAGAAATTCAGGGTACGCGATAACTCGCACGCTGCATGTTTCGTGCATCTATGGAATTGTTTCCATATGAAATAAATCGCAAATGTACGATTAACGTTGAAGTTTTTACCATTTGATACAGTAGGGCCAAGGCCCAAACAAGCATGTACAAGCTGTTTGTGACCTGGCTCAGGTCGTAAAGGCGCTGACGACTAGTTAAACGGTATATGGCCCCTAGGCAGTCAGTGTTGTACGTTTTTCAACCAATCTTCATGGAGTGCTTTAATTTATAATGGATTATCGAAAAGGTATTGACTATTTTTAAGTCAACATTGAAGCAAAACTAATATTATTAAGCTAGCATTTTGATGGGTGACTTTCTGCCGTATCCCTGATAACACTATAGCCCCACCACCGTAGAACCTCTTCGGTTTCCTAGCGAAAAATTGTGATAAGTGATTTTGATTTTAATTAAATTAAGAGAGTTTTGCAGATATTGGAGCAGATGATAGTCTAGTGGGATAAGATCTGAGATGTACGGCGTATGCATCGGAATGGCCCATCGAATTTTTGTACATTTTTTGCTAGGTAGCTAACTGGTCTGGCATTGTCATAATTGAAGAAAACCGGCTGACCTTACTGTGACCCTGTTAGTCATTGATAGTAGATGTCCGGATATATATCTGTTTTCCCAGACAGTAACGACTCATAGTGCACGATTCCTCTCTAAACACACAGCATCACCTCCTCTGGTGTTAGTCTCGACTCCGTAGACTGTGGACTGTGTTTTTTAGTTTCTCTTTTCAATCTGTACGTTACTGCCGCTTATGGTCTGCTTTTCGTCGTCCGCAATGAATCGCTTTAGAAATAGCTTGATTTCGCTGTTGTTCTATGGAGTTTCGCACATGAAAATGCCATAAAGCAAATTATTATCGCCAATTTGTGTGGCTTTTTTGCGCCAGCTTCCTTAAGGCAGTGCAAAACTTTTTGGTCCTAAGTATTTAATTGCTTGATGATATTGTAAACTTACGTGTCGGTCTTCCTCAGTCTTCGATTTCAACACCTATTTCCGCAACTGGTCGACCACTACCAGGAGCACCTTTCACGTCAAAAGTTCGAGAATGAAAATGACAGAAACATCCGGCCGTTTCTTTCGATAACGCATTCCGATCGTAAACAACACGAATTTTTTATGGGCCTGGGCAGCTTTCATGCATCTACCGTAATGAAATTGTAAAATATACGAAATGTTTACAGAAATTCAGCCACTTTTAAGGCACACGATTTCAAGTCTGAACAAAAACAGTCTAGCTATTTTAGTACATTTGCGATTGCCAACCTGCAGCTTTAAAATGACGCCAAGGCCGACTCGACGCGGCCACATTACCTGGCAGATATGATTTGAAGGCCATCTAGTTAGAAAAAGCTTGTCATGGGATCAACGCAGGCCTGCAACTTCGAACGTGGCGTTTAAATAACATTTCATTAACAATCTTGTACATATATATATGTGTATATATGTATATATACACATATATATATGTAAAGCACAAGCTGTTATTGGTCAGCGGTGATATCGATCCGCATGTCTATGTCTGTTAATAGAATTTAAGAAGAGTGCATCCCAAGTATGAATTTAATAACATGAGATTAATTGTCGTCCTTTTAAGTTGTCGTCCACCTACAAACAACACCAAATGATTCTGATTATGCCCACATCTTTTAGCGTTCTCACTGTATTTTTTGTATCTCAACCTTAATTAAGTTTGCCCGGACGTTTGAATCGACCCGGCTTCAAATAACCCTGACCTCATTCAACCTAATCGTCCTTTAACCCAATTTACATCAATTTTCTATTCGCGGTACACGTTTGCTTTTCTTGTTCGCTATAGTCTCTCTAGGGATTGAACGTGGCATTATATGCCTGCATACGTAGTCAGACTTTATAGCACTTCTCTATGGTCGACAGCATGGAGCGTCTGGTCGGCTAACCAGAAAAAGGCTAGAAAGAAAAACTCTGTGGTCTAGCGTAATTATTATACTGTAGTTGTCGCCCATTCAGTGAAACAGTTAGGCGATTCACTGTTCCAATGAAAGGCTTTGCAAGGAAGCGACAAAGTTAGATGTCCGAAATCGGGGTGTCGGCGATGTGCCCCCTATACTAGTCAATGGTAGGACCTGCCTTGATGCACGATGTGCGCCGGCCGAAGCTAAACTGCTGAGATCAGCACGCTTCCCCTGCTGGGAGTTATTAAAGGCCCAGCTGAAGTGAATGTTCTCGATGGGGTCAGCGTCTAGATCACACCAGATCTGGGCCGTTTCGTGTATGTCGACGCCGTACACTCGGCGTTCTGACGGATTCCGGCATCGTGGAACATCTGAAAAAAAATAGGCACACGCGGATGTTGAATACAGGTTTAATATATATATATGATATAATAATATAATAATAATATATATATATAATATGATTTCAGACGGTTAGCAGATTCTTGTAGCAAATTTTCCGCAACTCAGCTCGCCGACAATAAAACGTCATACGCACACAACTGCTTATTTAATTGAAAAATGGGAGCATCATCATAAAATGTAGTTCAGACGGTGTCCAATCCCATATCTTAGGAGTGAGCAGGAAACGAGCTAAAAGCGATTTCAAAAAAGTTTTGAAAGTGCTTCATAGGGTTAGAGTCGTTACGCATTGTTTCAGATGGCTGGCTTTTTGCATTCGCGTTCAAAGCTGAATTATTTTAATTCAATTTAATAGGTTAACACATTTATAGCAATCCAGTACGAGAACGAGTTAAAGGTAATGAATCCCTTAGCTTCTCCTCGTGCATACCAGCCACTGCGAGCTTCAAGGCGATGTTTCCAGTCGGCATTTTTCTGTAGGTATTAAACGGCCTAATCCTAGAGGATTGGAACCTTTAAACTTAGGACAAACGATGTTCAGTCGTTGCCATGTCGTATCGTCTACCAAATACGCAATTTCTCGAACACGACAGGTATGTAAAAAGGTTGTTTTAGGTAGAGCTACAGCCTTTACAACAGGCAGTAAAGCCTATAACACCGTCGAATATATTCTGAACGGGAAATGTAACAATTTTCATAATAGTTTGACGTGAGTGTAAAAAAACTTCAAAGGTTATTATTGATGAGATTTAAATGGCGATGAATAATAGTTAACCTTGAAAACGTACTCCAGTGTAGCAATACACAAAGTATCTGCATAGAACTTAATATTTATTTATCATTAACGTACCAAAAATGGGCAGACCGGAAAGACGCTATAACTCAAGCTCAAAAGCAAGTTAAGGAAGTTCTTCTGCAACAATTTTTACGATAATTTTCCACAAATCGATTGCCCCATCCCACCGGCAACGATCAATCCTAACAGAGGCAATTATAAAACACCAACATCCTATTCGAATATATTATCGTATATTCTCAGCAAGAGTTTTTTATGCCAATAGTAATCTACTAATCGCTCGACACATCATATATGTATTATACAACTTTATTTTTACTAGACCTGTCGGCTACACGATGCCCCTTACTATGCGATACAGTGGAAGAGACTATACCCGGGATTGATACGTCGATAGTGCTGCACTGTTCTAACTTTCGGTGCTATTGCAGTCGTTAGCCAGACGCCAAGCAAGGACTACAAGTATGTCCTGGAATTCCGTCCTCAACTCCCAGTCTGCCCCCCACCATTGTAATATCGGCGAGCTGTAGGCTGGTGTTATTGCTACCTTTAACGCTGCTACACCTCGTCAACGTGGCGTCTGTAGCTGCTTGCGTAAGCATTCCTGGATCTTGTCCCATCTTCCAGTTTCTTCCAGGAAACCAGCCATTCCTTTTGCATGCTTTTGCCTTCTGTCGTTTCTTCATCCTCTTCTCGTTTGCTGAGAAGAATTGAATTGATGCCGTTGCCGTATGTACGCGGCAAACCCACACACGACGTCTAATGAGACCGCTCGCACCGGATCCATATTCTAGCGATGCCATTCGTAGAGTGGCCGGGCTGAACTGCGGGCAATCAGCTAATAGAGGGAAATGACGGAAAAGGGCTGTATCAGGCTGACGGTAGCCATAGCAACAGCAGCTGCGGTGGCGACACCTACTGTAACGATACTACGCTATGTTAGAAAGGAATAAGCGAAGCTCTCGATGTAACAAATACCGCAGCTGCGAAGAGAGCCCAAAGCCCACTCTTTCCGCGTGGTCGGTTCCTAACAGCGTACCGACTGACTAGAAGCAGGCAGAATAGTCCTTACCTATCGAGTGAACGCAATGTGTCATATATGCTGCTAGCAATAAATACACATACACAGACGATCAGAAGGAAACCAGAAGTTTGCCGTTTGGCTACATAAGGCGTTGCGTTTGGCCGGCGTTTTGGTAATCGCGTAAACGTACGGACAAGGCTTTCATACGCGCTTTACAAGTACGTTCTCTAAGCTGCCTCGGTTCCTCTTTCTCTCTCTCTCTTACTATTTTCTTTCGTGCCTTTAAAGCAACTCTAGGTGGCGTCCGTAAACGAAACATCGCAAAGACACATAATGCTTAACGATAATAAAGGAGCTTTGGCGAACTGAGGGGTTGCCGGCGTAGGAGTAATAAGAAATATACCATGCAACCACTGCAGGGGAAAATGCTTACGTTTAGGGTATACGTTTAGGGTTTAGAGAGGAGAATATTTCTGTAAAAAAAGTGCATCTAGGAAAAAAATGCTACAATATTATAGGGAAACAGATAGTAAAAAAAAAAAAAAAACAAGAGACGAAGACCAAAAATATGTATGATATTTACTGGAAATGAAAACCATACAACATCACGTTAAGAAATAGCGTATTATTAAATAGCAAATCTCACTATTTCAAGTCAGATTAATGAGTTTACTTAGCGTTTTTTAATACCTGAAACGTACTTCGTGTACTAAGATCAAGCCCAAGTTTTCTGGGTGCTCATTCCGTATATCACCTTATAAGCTTAACCACGACAAATGCGTATACGTATATTACTTGACGCCTAGTCTTCGTTACGTTGAAATTACCCGGATCGATAACGTTATCGCCTTTCCGCCTATCGTGTCAGAACGCATTTCCACGCGGTTACATTTGCGTCGGCGTTAAATTTGCTAAAAAAGGAGAGAGCAATTCCACTCTCACATATCGAACAGTATACGCATGTTAGTGACGGCAACCATTGCAAACAATAGCAGATCTTGCACGTTTCTTGGTCCATAAGCGGCACAGACGTCGCGGATCCATATATCAATCGTGCAGCAGAGTGAATAGCCAACGATCAATAAGAAGGAGCATGGCATATGGTACTCCATAGTGAGGCTGGCACTTGACTGATGCAGACATGCTCTTCACGAATTTCGACGAGGGACCTAGTTATGTGGTGGGCCCCCTTCTGAATAATTCTGCGCTTCAGATCCGCGATGATCCGATACGCAAGGAGTTCGAGAGGCTGAGATCTAGGGCTAAAAGCCGTTATACCATTTTGCTGTGCTTTACCGTAGCAATACATAGTTTCATAATACCGCTTTTCTTCGTAGCTTCACGGCTAAGCACCCTTTCTTCGGCGGCAAGCAAAATTCAGGAGGTTCTTCACCCATTCATGAGTGTGAGCAAGTCACCCGCGGACGGCGACAAAGAAAATATCTTTAACACTAACCGACCGGAGTTTGTGTTCTCTTTCAGAACTCTGTCGTTGGCCGTGAAGAGCGCCGCAGTTTGGCCAGAAACCTGGGGCGTTTTAAATCCTTTAAAACTCCACTGACTTGTTGGTCTTCCTGTTGCGTGGCGACGATGGTCAGTTGCTGGACCAAATGGGCAGCTTCAGTAGTTAATGCAGAACGCGTCGACTCAGTAACAGAAGCATCGCGCCCGACTTAAGTCATAGTCGGAACCCACAGCCGACTACATGCTTTTGCTGCGGTAATTGCTTCCCAAATCACTACGAAGGAGACCAGCTGAGCCACGAGAACGAGTGTCAGCAGCACCGACACTATAAGCAGAAAAGGCAAAGTTCCGGACTACCTAAAGTGCCTCTTACTTCGTTTAGACGCTGCTAACGCCAGACCATCGCCTCACGAGAGCTTGCCGTATTGCAAAACTTGAATAAGATTCAGTGATCTTTGTCCGCTAGATCGACACGACAGCGTCGCGTATAAATGAAACAAAGCATGTTATGTTATTTTCCTAAACAGAAAGGCGTTAGCATAGCCTCAAATGCAGGCCCGTACCGTAAGCTCACATCTGTCCACTGAGAGTATCGCATAAAATTCGTAATCATACGAGACTAGTATGCTTTCTCACATATGCCCTACGCATGTCCTCTAATCAATAATTACTTACATTTGACTCGTAAAAATAAGCGATTGCTTCTTGCTATACCCTCTCGATTTGCTGCGGAACATGTATACCATCCACGCTGTGATCGGTTTACTGCCTGTAGCACTAACGATGATCCGCTAATGATTATCCCTGTGTATGAAATAAATTCAACAACAGCTCTTGATCTAGAAATTTCGTTTATACCGATTGTGCACTTTCAAGAAAGTTGCGTACTACCAAACTATACTGACGCCTGCACGCCAAACCTGTCGCGCAGTGGTTACCATGATCCGAGTTGTCGCTTGTGTAAGTACAAAATGAGTTAGCGACAAAAAAAAAGGTCCAACCAACAAGAACAACGATTTGAAGTTACAATCTATAGACTTAATTGTATTAGTAGCAGTTAGTAAACCTTTGTCCTTATCCGTATGCAGTTCTGTGGTTCCGTTAAAATGCCAGAGAATTTCGTGGACAAGAGGATTGGCTTTGATGTCGCACTCCAGGTAAACATCGCGACCTTCATGTATTTCGCCCGACCGAAGTCCTCCACCAAGGCTGACGCTTACTCGGGGCGTATCTAGGTAACACAAGCCGATTGCGTCCATTAGCAAATCGTGCGACTACAAGATTGAAGTAAACACTAATATCTTCTGGAGAATCCATAAACATTTCTCCTAAGGGCATATTGTGGCACAGTATAGTGCGTTAGCAAGACTTCCTTGTCTTCTTTCCGCTCTCGAGTAATCTATGCCTTTAAATAAATAAAAGGCTAATGTTTAATTTCCATTTACTATTACCAATTTGAACTGCCTAGGAGATAAATAGCGTACTTACAATGTACGTCCAACGTCCAGCTGCGCTTGAGGGCCGCCGCACTCCGTCTGCTGTAGGTGGCGCCCTTGGCAATCGCTGGGTTTTCAGCGCGACAAACTAACACCTTTCCATCATCTTCGGGCTCCGGAGCAAATGATAGCGTTGATGTGCTTAGGCCACCTAAAGTAGGTAATTAAGGCTTTTTAGTATTGAGCGTTGTCCCAGATGTTTAGTTTAGTCGAAATCCAATAGATGGAATAGTGAACTTGTTTAAAAGCATCGTTGCTCGCAACAGCGGAAACGCTCGACGTTTACGCTATCGAATTTGAGAATCAGAGCTACACTCCTGCAGCGTTTTCTAACTTTCTGAGTTTGTCAACTTATCGACCTCACCTGTTGTTTGCTGTAACTTCCGTTATACTGCAACCGAATTTTACTCGAGAAATTCATTGAACTCGAGAAAAGTAAGCCGCTTTCCTCTTAACTTTACTCTAGAGTAATTAACGCTTTTGTTGTTTAAACTAAATCTGCTGTCAGTCTTGCTACGGCACACTAGCTTAGGAATAACGTTTAGCATAACACTTGACCCTTTTATATGGCCTCTGCCAACCGTTGTATCGTTAAGCTTGAAACTTTAAAAAGCAAGTGACAGTATTTTAACATCAGTCTTCATGCACTAATCCCCAGTCGCACCCAAGCGGAATAACTTTTCAGCATAAAAATTACTATCTAGTTTGTGACGCCAACAGCGTGGTACGCAACGGTAACGTTGGGTAGGCGAAACGTCATTGGTACTAGATAACGCCTCTCTTCTTGCGTAAGTTGCACCTATATAGAATAGGTAAAAGTGGCGCAGTTTCTTTTTTTTTAGAGCAAAGCTATCAATCGCCGTAAGTCACAGGCTTTCGCTACTTCGCTTGAGATAAAGTATCCAACATTTTTTTTCCAGGAAAGACAAACGGCTCAGTAGACTGCGCTATGGTAAGTCAAGTGTTCAAGAAGGAGGGCGTTTAGTTTCCGTGTAATTGCAACATTCGCCGAAATAGACGGGGCGATGAAAAGCAATGGCTGGAAAGAACCTTGGCGTCACGTAGTCGTCCGTTTCGCGATCCATATGATGTATGGACGGGAATTTCTATGAACCAAGCAAAGAATATATTTTGTATTAGATGCCGGAAGAACTGGGATAAATACTATACACGCCACTGCCTTCTGGTGCCCTCGCGCGCCCGGATACTAATGCTATCATAGAATGAGTGACCATGTCATCAACTTTTAATCCTTTTAAATTTTCTAAGCCTATAAATGATAAGTTTCAGGAATATACGTGTGATTGGTCATCACTGATCTGGCAATATATATATATAACTACTGCGCAGATCAAACCAAGTTGTTGTAAAAATTAGCCAGTTCACAGATATTCTTCCCCTTCGATTATGTTCGCAATGTAATCACGCTCTAAGAGCAATAGGCGATATGTTATGCTTAGAGTACGTGGCAATCGTTCTCCTTTAATAATAACGATACAAATATAGATAGTACTGTATATATCATAAATGAAACGGATCAGCGATATCACATCTTGTATCTCCAGCCTGTCTGGATTTGGCTTGTCGCTCCTGCACTGCTGCGCGTTGGCTTTATCGGCGTATTATCAGGATGCTAATTAAGGATTTCTCGGGGTACAGGATGAGAAACCATAAATGGGATTCACGCGAAGGCTGAGGGGGGGGGGATGGGTAGAAAAGACGATGGACCATCGCCCGCCCTACTCACCCTTGGGAAAGTCCTCCTTCGTGGCTTGTAGCTGTTTGTCACCTTTCCACCAGGAAAGGATGGCAGGTGGTCGGGATCCACTCGAGGAACAGACGAGCTCGGCGGTAACCCCGACAGAAAGAGGTCGAGGCGCTGGCTGGATACTGATGTCTAGAGGTTTTACTGTGGGCACAAACAACGGAAATAGATGTCGCGAATAAAAAAGAACCACTCAGTTTTAATGCTCAAATTGTTTCACTCGTCGTCAACATGCGTTTGCTAGATCAACAGTAACACATATACTGATCTAGCTAGCTGATAATAGCTCCTAAAGGCGTCTTCAGTAACGCAAATTTAGGGAAGTCGTCACGATTAGCTCAATGCAGCTGAACGGTACAGATAGTACATTGTATCTATTGATAAATGTAGTAAGCCATGTGTTGTTGTGTAAACGAGTTTCGATTTTCACTTATTGATTGAAATACCGTAAATAGTGTCTTCTTCTGCTATACTCAATTTTATATCTGTCAGAGATAACGATATTTTGAATGACTGTTTCCATCCAATCCTGGCAAAATCCATTGAAACAACACTGAATCAAGACGACACTTCTCTAAACCCCTTTCTACACCAACTCGATATATTGACCAAAAGTACGGGTCCGCATCTCAGGTCCTACGACCTTCACCCTTTGCCCAAAAGGATCAAATCGACGCTTTTTAAATATACAGTATTCGTAGCTAGGCACCCATAGAGATACATGTAACAAATCAAAACACATTAACGGGAACAAGTCCTGCTATTATAACAATTCACATTACCGTCAAAAGCGTCAAGCAACCTGCACATCCACCGCAGTTTTTTTTTTTTTTTTTACTTACAGTTAAGGTCGAGTGTGATGGACGTCTTTGACGGTTCGGTGATATTGTTATTTGTCGCCTGGCAAGAGAAACCTGCTAGCAGATGCTCCCGTTGAAGTATACCGATCTCGAGAGTGTTGCGGACGACGCTATGCGTCGTGTCGAGGTGGTCGAACGTGAATGAATCATCGATCACGTGCCCCTGGCGACCCGTCCAGAAAAGCGCCGCGCGGGGCCTTCCAACGTCTTTCGTGTAACAGTGTAGCGATAGTGGATCGCCCTCGTTGAACGGGCCGGCCAAACCGCCCTGCAGTGTAACGCCAGCAGTAGTCTCTATCACTGGCATTCCAGGTGGTACTGCGAAAACCAAAAATCCACACCCCAAGAGTACGAATGAAGAAGATAAAAGAGGAACAAAAACGACACCGTCAACGTAGAAGAATGTTTACTGCTTGCATTTGTTCTAGCTAGAAGTGTAGTTTGTAAGCGTGGATCTATACCGGTCGAGGCGTCCTGCTAACGTTGCTTGCAAGACCGTCCAGACAACTAGTTCTAGTTTACCTGATAGCCTTCACGTGTCGTCGTATTATTAGGCCAACGAGTGCACTGCTCATAGGTAGTGGAGAATCGGTACTAGATAAAGAAGATGAAGAACCCACTGTGGGTAAGAAGAAGAGCTGATCAAAAAAGAAAAGAGAATAGGAGACGGTTGTCACAGGATAAGAGTAGTAATACGCTGACAAAAAGATAAAGACATCATGTCGATCTAGGAACGATTTATGGTTAGGAGGTCGTGGGCGGAACTTCACGATGGAAAGGTTAATCTGTTTACGGTAACGTGTAACGTGACTTAGTTAGTTTACTAGTTTGAACACTGAGTAATAATAAGAATTATGATACTAATAATAACGACAACTGAACGAAGAAAGCCGAAGGCCAATACAGGGCGAAAACATTTTATATTGTCTAGTTAGCTTGTTTTTGATCACGAGTTTTATCATGTCCCATCTAATACAGGAAATCTTTTCCTCTCTCAATTGAACCAGCGATGTCTGCCTGTTTTTCTTTGAAGACCGCTCAAGCCACCAGGTCAGATGATTTGCACTAGATACATGACGCCGAAATCTAGCTCATTGCTTACCAATCACCCGTAGATTTACAACGGTGTTGATCGAACGAGCTCGCTTGAAGTCAACTCGACAGCGGTATTCGCCTTCGTCCGAGCCGCGAACAGGTTCCAACTGTAGCTGAGCGACGGACGATGATGAGGACCCCTGACTATTCGACCCAGCGTGTTGCACAGTCGTGAGCACGTCATGCATCGACTCGATCGGTGTTGAAGGTGGTTCCCGATGGTCGAAGCCGTCTATTGACGAAGTTGAAGTTGACGATGTCCAACCAAAAGTGAAAACTGCACGATCTTTGAGCATATCAAGGGAAGATTGTCGCGCTGACTGAAGGTCACCGCCCGTTTCCCGCGCGTCAATAGTGAATAGCGGAGCCGGAATATCGTCTTTGTACCAGAGCACAAGAGCCATCTCTTCGTCGCCGTCACTTCCGCTACTACGCCATTCTGGACCCGGAGTGACTGTGCATGGCAAGGATACCGATCCGCCCTCGATGGCCGTGAAGACGATCGATGCTGGGAAACCCGCACAGTATTTAGAACACGAACCAGAGGTATTATTATAAGACTACAGGCGGCATTGTAATCGGACAATTGCATGGATATTCGTGTTTTGCCAGTTGGATAGTTTGAGAAATCCAAAAAGAAGCGGGGATTCAATAAACTTAATAAAAAAAAAGAACTGCTTGTTAAGTAAATGTGTCACTGAGAACGTTCTCTTCAAGGCGCTCTGCTATTAGGTGCGATTTTACCTGGATCGTTCTACCTAGAAAACACAAAAGCGTCATGTCGTAAGAGTTTGTATCCGGAAAAAATTTCCAAATGAAACAAATATGCAGTATTTTCCATGTTAGCAGGCTAGCACAGCTGTCATTTCGAGTCGAGTAGGCCCGGACCACGAATTTTCCTGTCTAAGCTTAACCTATTTAATCGCCATTTATTGTGAGCGGGTAAATAACCGACAAGAATCGAAAGCGCCGCAACTGTTTACCTTGACCTGAAATACAAACAACAGAAGCGTACATATTAGGTCAAATACGTATCTAATGCTTCGTTGAGTTTCGCTAGTATTTCCTCGTAATTTGTACGTAGATCAGAAAATTATCTTCTCGGATTTCTAATTAACTGACCTTCACTTAAAGCTAGTCCATATGAAATAACGATATCCGGTGGTAATGTTTCTAGTCGATACCTGTATCTCGCCTATTGAAGGCTATTACCAGTTGGTCTTCACGAGCTTCGGTGAGCCGATATACACGAGCACTGCGATCAAACCAACGGTTAAAAACACCCGACTCTAAAAAAGCGCGATCGATCACTGGCCGTAATGGCTTTATTTCACCGCGTTGCACTATTTCATTAAAGTTCTTTTACATGACCCCGTCGCCCACCGTTCAGCCTTCAGCCCGTTCTATGAGAGGAAAAATGTCGCGCTAAATAAATGCCTACCTAGCATGTTAAATGTTACCTAGCATATGCATAAGCAACCTGACACTCCGTAGTAGGACTATACTTAAAAAGTGGAGGATACAGCCGGCCAATTAGCAGGACAACTGAAAAGTCAGTTTTCAACAGCCTGTTGATAATAGCACACGGAAACTAGGACGCCTTGCGTTCTGAAAAAGAATTATTTCAGGTAAAGTTTCAAAACCTCCTTTTGTTATATGTAAAGACATTTGTAATAGCTTGAAATGCGGCGGGTCGCCAACCTGCGATTACAGCACGTTCATATTCCGGCCGTTATTTCATTTATTATATTTATATTTCATAACATTTCCTCATCAAGAATCATGAATGGAGTGTCGATTCAGTAAAAGATGGAATTATATATATATATGGATATATATATATCCATATATATATATATCTAATTTATTTAAGTGGGCTGTGTTTCTGTTCGGGTTTAGAGTTGATAAGAATGAGACACAATGCATTTTTCTGCTAGCTTATTACATTACATCGGTCAATGTCGGCCACAATCCGTCTTCAAGGTGGGTCTAAATTAAAGATCGCTAGCTTCATTTCATGCTCATGCATACCTTGCTCTGTCAGTTGATATATGGATTCTGGAAGCAATCATATCGATACGATGAAATAAGTCTCTAGACGCCAGGCCCATAGGGTTCCCTCTGTTCCGGAGGCTTTGAGATAAGGAAAAGTGAATTGATCAATGTACTACCATATGTTTGAACCTAACAGAATACGAATTCCAATATTGCATAGCTTCGTTAACTCGTGTTTTTAGAGTACAGCCATGCATAATCAGGCCACGTCCTCTGACGTTGCGAAGATAGCCTTAGCTGAAGTTAGGTTCTTCGGGAAATCATCCAACGAACTGGGAACAAGTAAGATATATGGAACACTGCGCACTGTATAAATTTGTGCTAGTTTAATATCTCTATTCATGTTTGTTTTTCGATAATAATTACTACGTACTTCACGTTACTTCCAGAGCCTTTCAGAAATAAACCCTTTGTTTCTTTTGGGCTTCACAGACGTATCTTTCTTGCAATGCTTGTTTTATATTGAGTATCGTTCTCAGTGTGTTTATGAAATGTTGTCTCAAAAAGCTAGCAAGTACTCCTATTTTGATTAGCACAACTTTGGTATACGTGTTCGTCTGTTAATTTTCACTTAATGGTGATATTCAAGTTTGACTGGATAAATGCATTTATTTACTATATATTTTAATGAAAGATAATTGAATGTTTATGACAAGACAGGGCTTATAATAGTAAGGTTTGTTAAACTCAACTTGGCTTGTATGGGGTGCATGCAAACGGGCCTTTGCCTGAAGCCTGAAAGCTGACTCTGCAAATAGGCATTGGTTTTATTTCAATTCAAGTATATTCCGAACTTCCTACAATTCGATGCGTCACTAGAGCGGAGAGAAATTTAGTCAAATATGTTTAGTGTGCCTATACTTCTATATTTCGAATTTTACGTTTGCTATCGCCATTGAACAAGCGTCGCATCAGGACAGACTGCTGGATAGCTCCCAGCACGGAACGAACGTTGTCTTTCTGTCTGTTAATATGTTATGCCCGTTAAACAGATACGCCTTCCACTCGGAACCAGCAAGGTTGATTTTTTACTACTAACATTATGACAGCATACGCTGAACGCGTAACACATCAACAAGCCTCTTGTTGCCTGATGACTTTTTGTCCACGTCAATTCTTCTGCCCACCAATTCTAGGCTCACTGTTTCTTCTGGACATTATTGCCTTTTTTATATACGCTACGTACTTAGGAGAAGCTCTGTTTGAGCAAACATCAGCTGGCCGATTTTCAATAGTTTTTTCCATACGATACTCTACAGAGTTTAGCGAAGAATATGTATCGTAGAATGTCATTCGTATTGTAGGAAATATGGAAGAAATCTTCCTCACGGAAGTAGCAGGTTCGTGCACCGAACAACTTATATTATCCAGCCATAGCCTTTTTTTTTGTGCAGCCAGGAATGGAGGAGTTGCATTGCTGCCAAGTACCAAATAACTCGCAAAATCAGAGAAGGTAAAACCGATCGATCATCTACAATAGCTATCCGATTGAAAAGGCTAGAAAATTCGTCAAAATGATCCAAACAATAATTTGTAATGAATTATCAAGTCCAGTAGAAAAACTATGCAACTGTTTTCAGGAGGAGAGTATATATTGTCGTCATAAAAGCCCAAGACACTTCGGCTTTATAGCCCGCCATGAGGCAAAAATTCGATCTTGATCTCTCAGCGTCATTGACCACAAGGTCGCGTAATGCTGTTTCAATCGGACCTCATCATAATAGTCCTACGTTCAATAGTCCGTTACAGGTATACTTGTTATTACATTGTGGTTTTTTCCTTGGCGTCCTTCTGTTACGCTGCTTTATACCCCACTGGACACATCAATGTATTTTGTTCGGTGATTTTGGTGATTGATATTTTCTGACATTTTATTCTAATTATTCCTCTAATGGGTTTACCATCACTTGGTAGTAAATATCCTGCAGTTTCATTGTTACTGAGTCGACACTGTCCTACCGTTTACCTCTCACCCCCTTTTCTGTATTTTCCTTGCTGTTTCCAAGTGTAGTCGTCTTTTTTTTCGATATTTCATAGTAATAGTTGATTCTTTAGCAAAACCAAGTATATAAAAACAACAACACTATCACACTTGATTCTATCGAGGCAAAGATAAAAATTATTTTTTTACAAGCCAAATCTCATGTCCGCTATGCCGATAAATTTATAAGGTAAAATAAGCAGGTGTAATAAGTATGTGAGCAGGTAAAATAAGTAAGTGAGCAAGCAGGCAAAGTAAGCGGGTGTTCGATCATGCTGAAGATAAAATTGCCTGAAAGTCCAAAGCAATGGCCATCGGCAGTTACATCGCAATTAATACAATATCGAAGTAAAGCTTTTTAATTGCTTTTTTTTTTCTGAGAAAAGTTGATAACACTCAGAAGGGACGTATTATCAAAATGGAGGACAAACCAACGGTCGTACCTGCAACTGACTTTTATAAATATCTTTTTACTGCTGGAAAATTGGCTACCGGTTTGCGTCTTGTATTAAAGGTAACCTAATCACAGGTGACACCGGTCAAGTGTCTTGGCCTTGTTTGTCCCGAGAGTTCCTGCTTGATTTTCACGGCGCAAGATTTCCATCGATGTGTTCGGGAACTATTCGAGCCGATTTGCATAACTTATCGTATGATTACTTATTTTAGTAGGCGAAGCCCCTACTTCCGACTCGACGACCTTAAGGGCACTTAAGATTATTCACAAAGTTACAATTACCGTGAACGATCTAGAATTGACGTAATATTGACTTGAGTTAATCTGTATTTATATTAATTAAGTGTGCTAACATCGGTAGCTTCATGAAGTTTCTCTCTAAACTTGAACTTAACAGTGTAACTCTCCGATCAACGCATAGCTCTCTTCTATACGAAATGATACGTTTCAATGTGCTTCTCTATGTACAGTTTCTCAGAAATGTATTTAACATAGTAACACAAATACTTAAGTGTTCATTATAAAATATCTAATGCTATTTTATAACAGGTCAATGTAATGGAAGCAGCTATCACATTTAAAAATAAGGCTTTTGAACGGGAGGCTACCAGTAGAATTAATTAACACTTGCACTATTTCTCTAGCAATCGCTTCCGGTTGAGTGCACCTAGGCTACATTTCTAAATCAACAACAATTTTTGCCTAAGCCGAATAGAAAAGTTCGCACGCAATTTCAGGGTAATACTCTGCGTCAGTATACGTACAGGACTATTTTGCATAGGCCACCCTACGCAAACAAGTTCCAGAATGGTCTTTCGTTCTCTAAATACGATTGACTTCCTTCTTTATTTATCTTCTGAAACGCTCAATTTCACCTTCTTTCGTATCTCTTTATATCACCCAAATTCAAACAGCAAGGACCTATTTTCTTATTTATCGGTATTCTAGATATCCAACTCACCTTTTTTGACGCCTTTTTTCTGACTGTACCCGTATGAAGGCTGTGACAGCTGCGCCTGCGCTTGCGCCACACGTCGTCCCCTTTCAACAACAACACCTCGGTCCATTCCCATGTCGGACTGTATTTGGCCCGCATCAATCTGTCCTGCGTCCGACACGTGTGACCTATGCCGCAATTGACCCCTCGTCGCGCGACCCCTCTTCATCCATTGTTGCATTTGCGAATGCTGCTGCTGTCCTCCAGCACCAGCCATCTCCAGCCGCACAGTTTCTAACGGCCACCGATCTGTTATTAGCAAACGACTCTTATGGGTATCACGGTTAGTGCGAGTTCGAAGAACTGTTACCAATTTCGCCAGTCCTTCATGAGCAGATTGTGAAGTAGTGACCGACCGCCCACTAATTTCCAAACTGTGTATTTCCGAATCTTCGCCCTTCTTAGTGCTCTCTTTTGGGCTGTTTGATATAAACGGGTTGTCAACCTTGTCCTCGGTGGTATTTGGTCGTTCCCGGCCCTTCCCAGGTTTCGAGTCATCGTAAGTAACGTTACGAATGCTATTTGCCATTGACTTGTGTCCGGCAGAAAACAAAGAGGTCGCCATAACTTCGCCACTAACCTTAGCCACGTCAACAGCTGACGAAACACGAAGATCCTTTCGTCGGGTTTGGTATTTGGGTAAATAGTTCCTATAATGACGATGATCATCAGCATGAGTTTTCGTTTTCAACAGAGCTGCCGAACGTTTCGCACCTACAAGTGCTCGCTGTCTGTTATTCGCTAATGCAGCCGACCTGGTCGTTTCCTGACTAGCTTCATTTAGCATGTGCAGAGCTTTCGAACGCTTTCCACCGTTCGGATCGGCCCCGGTGACAACGACCGCAGAATTAACATGGTGTAGCGTTTCTGTTGCCTCTTGGCTGTAGTGATGCTGTTCCTGCTGATGTGATTGTCTTTTACTGTTGCTACTTACGGCAGCGCTTTTAGCCGCACCACAGCTCAGGTTATCACTACCAATACCGGGTTGCTGTTGCCACGCAAAATGCTGACCATACAGTTGCTTCAGCAAGCGACGTTCGACAACTTGCTCAGCGACGTGTCGATAGTCCCGAGGTTTACGATGCACAGTTGCCATCGGCGGTGTTGAAAATTGCTCACTACCGCCAGCGCCATCATGAGGCGCCAGCACTATTTTCCCTCGAAGACCAGCCGATTTTTCGACACTTCGCTGGCCTCGGGACGCCTGTTTAGGCCATATACTAGTAGATGTCATAGTCGATATCGGCGCGGTCTGGGCTTGTAGCTGTTGTCCGGACCTGGGCAGCGTCGCTGGCTTCTTGAATGGCTGCGCATCAGCAACGATTGCTGTCAACATTGTCGCGTTACGATCAGACACAAAGTCAAATTGTCCAATCAGATCGTGCTCTTTTGGTCTAAATGCAAAGCCACCACTGGCTCCGCTGCCGCCGCCGTCGCCGCCGTCGCCGTCGTGGGGAGTAGATCTTCTAGAAGTGGCCGTATCCGGCCACAGCACTGCGATCGCGACGAATATAAGCGCCGGCGGCCAATCAGGCCACAGGTACATCCTCATATCACTGTATCATATCATCTGTGTGCCAATATGTTCAGCACATAGTGAAGCTACGGTGCAGCAAGCTGCTGCAGTGGCAGTAGCAATAGCAGTGCATCAAAGAGACACGAGATAACGACATTTTCCTCTGCCAAGAACACTGAACAACCATGAGCATAGTCCGCGTCCTGTTGTTATCTGAAAAGACTCGCGCGAAACAAATATGGTTGAGTTAGCACTTTTATCGAGGCGTCAAATAAAAGATGCGTGACTCACGAGTACACCTTGGGTTCCATTTCTATATACGGGGCCAGCTGGTTTTTGCGTATTATTCTAGATATGAATAGCAGCTTAGACCCTTATATGTTCAAAAATCCTCTAAGGCTTCACTTGTGGCTACTCGAACATCTGCAATTACCCCTTAAATACGTTGAACATTAGATTAGTTTTTATACATCTGGCTCAATTAATTGACCAGTAATCCTGGAGAAAAAAGGTAGATGGCCTTCTTTGACATGACACGAATAGATTACCGACTATAGCTCAATTTAACTTCATATATGAAAGCCTGTATAACAGCCTTCACTAGTATACTTAGTATTGTACGGCGAACCTGTGTAGGTCCTCACCATTATCTCCGCGAGACTCATGACAGTACCTCAGAAGGCTAATCACTAGTAGGTAAATGGAAACCACAAGTTCTAACAGAGCCACGACAAGTTTTCGTTTGTTGTCATAGAACGAGCCATTACGGCGATCGGCTTTGTGCAACAGTTATGGCTAACTATGCGCTGAACATTTTCTTTGAGTGTAAATATTGTCACACATTTATCGAAAATGTTGTCGAAACTCGCGTATTTCGTTAGTCCGTTTAGCCCGTTTTTATCTCTGAAGCAGTGTCGCTGAAATGCCGGTTTTCCGAGGGGACTTCACTCGGCTACTGACGAAAATTCAGCAGAAATTCAGACGTTGACAGAGGTTATCGCAGGAGCAGAAACATTTGCACTCTTTGAAGTACTTCTGAGCGTTACATAATATCGCGTTGATACATATTCTAACAGGTACATATGGCTCAGACTAGATGAATGATACGTAAATTAGTCTTCTTCTTCCAGGTTATCGAATGCTCCCGACCATTTCTTTTTATGAACGTGATCGAGTTCTCACAATGACCATAGCTATGCAAAATCAACGCTAAAATACTGGTTTTACTGGTTCTCTATAGGTGAAGTCAAGTTGTTAGGTGCAATCATTCGTATTAACTTCTCGAAGGTGGACTGGCCTCTATACGCTGCCCTGCCGTATTGTTGCCGGTCGCCTCGTAGCAAACAGTCCGCTATTGAAGTTTACAGCTCTATATATATATA